GAGGAGGTGGTGCAGGATTTTGGACCTTCAACTTGTTTTTGTTTTCTAACTGTGGTGGCCACAATGTTAACGAGGGAGAACGAGGGCAGCAAGAAAAGTGTGCGCAAAGTGGTGCAGGATTTTGTCCATCAACAGTAGCTATGGAGCTTAAGACGTCATCAGGGGAAGAGTATGATGTGGCAGACAGGGAGAAGAGTTGGGAATTTGGATTGCAGAGGCTTTCCAAATCTTTCCAAGCAAGCCAGCAGTTGCCATCAATGATGGCCTTGCAGGGCCTTTGCCAATTGCAGCGCTTGATAAAGTGGACAGAGATCAATCATGTTGAGGTCTTGATCCTGTGTCCTTTCAATTGACTGCGATGCCTTGAGGTGTGCATTTTGGCATCCGTATCGTCTCCCAACTTACGAAGTGGTGTTGAGAAGCTGAGGCGATGCCATGAACATCGCATTACAAAGGGCTGAGAAGAACATCCGCCAGGAGAAGAAATGAAACAGACATATGGATAGCGGATAGGTAGATGGACCCTGATCCAGTGGATTCGGATAAGCTTCAGTGGATTGGTTTCCCCAATGATCGATAGAACAGGTGAAAGACACTTAGCCGTTCTTTTCCAGGAGAACTGAGGGTCAGTATCGGATATTCAATGCCCAGGCACACACGACCGGGCAATGAAACCTGTTACAGCAACGACCTCCAGTCAGCAGTTCCCCTTGTAGGCCATAGTCCTTGCCAACATCTGAGGAAGTTGCATGTTTTCCATTCAATTAGCCATTCCACCCTTCACCCTTGGATTGCATGGCTTTCCCAAGCCTTTCGTCCCAGGCACCAACAACCCCGTCTCTAACACCGCTCGGGTATCGGATGGTCGGCGCCGGAAGGACCAGGGCAAATGGCTCCACAATGCCAGGGGCGAAGCCGAGAGGCCAAAGCTTCTGTGCAACGCGGTTGGTTGGGTGCCGGTCGTGTCGTGGACCGGCGCGTTTGACGTCCCGAATGGCTCAGGGTGTGGAGGTCTATATATATATATATCTTTTATGCTCACATTTTAAGTGGTTCCCACTTTAATGCTGGGTGATGGCCACCTTCAAAGTCCCGAAAAGCTTGACATAATGCAATGATAACAAAAAACTATAGTTGACATGCGAGTGCCGAATGAAGGCCAGGATACTGCGATGGGATTCGTCTATGCTTGCACTTTTTTTTGGGCATGCACATCGTTTGGCCCCGTCAGGATAATAAGCAAGATCAGGGAGCAATATAGTGATGAAGCAGCCTCAAAGGCCTTTGGCATGATGGAGGACGGGCATGTGCAGCAGGTTGGCATATTGACAACCCCCCCAACTACTAAAGGTCTAGGATGGGAGGGGCTCTATGTACTTTCAGGCATAGGGTCTAGGATACTCACTGTGTGCATTGTAGACCCTAAATCGTTGAGCATTTTAGACCTTTTCAACTTTTCAGACTTGTCACCTTCAAATCAGTAGCGTTTTTTGTTGCATGATAAACTTTAGATTAGACTGTAACTCCACAAGTGTTTGCGAAGGCATTTGTGTGATACATTGTGTGTAGCGAAGGCTCGCGAAGCCTTTGGCGTAGGCTGTTGGATTTCACACAGGCGAAGCCAACTCGCGAAGGCAAACTTAGAGTCTATGAAAGGTTGAGTCTGGCGTGCCGGAACCGCGAGAGACCCCTTCGGTAAATCATCAGGTGAATGCTCATGAATGTCCTCCATACTGATCCAGTTCTCAGATATTGGTGGAAAGCAGCTGAAGGTCTAAAATGGATTCCTCAGAGCTCCTGTGTATTAAAGATTGCACAGGTCACCAGGAACAATACTTTAGACCCTAGTGCCTGAACCCGCTGTCAAACAGCAAATAATTGAAATCCTTTTCATTTGGTTCACTGGTGTTGCCTCTCCTTTGGGAAGCTGCTGGTTGTTTTTTGTGAAGGTGTGTTAGGATGAAGTGTCCATTTGAGCAGTTTACATGTGGTCAGGCACACCATTTAAGACCCCACTACGCGGTCCCAGGGGGGGGGTCTAGAACCTCTGCTGTGGCCTACGTAGACGCCCTAGGGAAACCATAAAAGACCCCCCAGTTTTGGGGTCTACAATGGGTCCCTGGGGTCCCTTGCTTGTAGTAGGGGGTATATATTGACGACAAACGGATCCATGCATTGTTTGCCAACATGAAATGATGCAATGAGGCTCAGCTCATCCTCAGGTGCTTATGATTTCAGGAAAGTGAGGTCATGGTTTTCTTTCCAAGAAAGACACCACTCCTCTCATGACTTGGAGACACCCGCACCGGTCAAAGGAGGTTGGTGCGTGGCTGGCTGACGGGGTTTCGAAGACCATGCAGGACACACTTTCTGTTTGCTTCGTGCGACTCGCTTCGAATCCGCCCCCGATGTCTAAGAGAACAAATCACGCATGTTATATACTAAAACTTATAGTTATATACGTATTGTATCGCGGTACCATTTATACCGATCGTCAGATATTGTGACCCGAAAAAGGGCATTGAGATTTCCTTTTCAGATGCGTTACTTGACTTCTAGAGCTCTAGAAGTCAGTATGACATGACTTGTCAGGCTTCGCCGGCTCAGCAAGAAATCTCCAGCATCGCATCGTTGGTCCAAACTTGGATCCCTCACAACCGATTCAAGCATTCGGCACTACTTTGCGCTAGTTCTTGCTGTAACATACTATATTGAAACTGTGGCAAGCAGCAAACATGTCGCAACACCTTGAGTCGGCATGGATATCACATTGACTGGCGTGAGCCTCGCAAACGACATTTTGCAGGATTTCCACCGTGGAGCTTTGATTCTGTCCGTGTACAAGCTTCTTGTCCTGTTGAGCCGTGCCCGGTGAGTGATGTGGGCCGTTTGTTTGTGCCACGCATACGCTTTGACTGGCACGAACGCCTCAGGGCCCCTGCCCACATGCAGACGCAATCGAGGTGTTCCCTGGACCCCGCCGCAGGATTTCAGTCGCAAAATATCCACCACTTTGAACGGAACCTTGGATAACCTTGGTCATTCTGATGTTTGCATGGCGAAAGCTGGTACCTGGTCAGAGGCCAATGCTTGTATATAGGTATAGACGGTATGGACATCCAACCAGTAATGAATTGGTTTGATGGTTCATTGTCTATTGTTTTTGGCCGCTTGATTCTTCTCATACCTCAGCGCCCTCAGGCTGTCCTATGTCCAAGACAAACTTGAGCAGGTGCCACCAGCTAAGCAGCTAATCTGAGAGAATGGGTTTGCAAGTCCAGAATTTTGGCGAACAAAAGCTTGCAGCATTTTCGTGCCCATGTTTCAGGCAGGATTTGCCTACCTCTCTCAGTCTGCCTCCAGAGGATAGGATGAGTGCGCAGCTGCGGGGCACTGAGTGGACAAATCTTGGAGGATGAGAAAGTGTCTAGAAACAAGAGAAAGCCAACAGATACCAATTGTCCACTGCTGTAAATCTTTAGGTGCCCAGGCCAATAGGGAAGCAGACAAGGCATCGGAATCAATTGAAAAACCAATACCTGGATGCGTGAATTGACTGAGTCAGGTCTGCCAGCAGCACTGACAGATGGTGGCACGGAAAAGCTGCCTGAACAGCTTCAGCACCATGATGTCAAGCACAATGAGCTCCAAATAGAAAGTTCAATCCCCTTCCAATTTTTAGTGGAAATGGGACAGCACTTCTATCCTGAAAAAAGTCTCAGGAACCTAGACTTCAAAGGAGGGTTCCCAGACAATTGTGTTCGATGTCGTGCAAGTGCCGCAATATATTGTTTCAGCTACTCCAAGTAGCTCAGGGAAGCCCCCTAGGGTGTCCCGGCATAGCTTGCTTGATTGCAAGGGGATGCCGACATAATCTTACACCGACAGCCTTTGCATTTCTCGGCCTTCGTCGACCCTCCTCGCTTGCTCGTTTGGCTTCAGCCGGCCACGGGAGCTGGTTTGGGTCCAGGAGAAGTGTGCAGCACTCAGGCTTTAGGCTTTAGGTTCCTTCTTTTGCTGTTGGAGGTGGACTTGGACAACTTTGTTTCACCATGAGGTTCGCTACAAGGTATTTCAAGGTACTTGTGCCCCAAGATTCACCTTGACTATGAGGGTCCAAACCTGTTCTACGGGACGAAAACCTCCACAAAGGGTTCCAATGGTCATAAAGTGAAGGACTGAATGAGTTGGAAGCTTTCTGAAGAGCAGAAAGACGTCACCACGCATGGCGCCGTGTCACAGACAAAGCCCTGAAGCAATACGTTTGCGGAAAGCAAGCAAGTAGGGTAGGCGGACAAGGACCTTGTCATGGTTTATGACCTGAGCTTTCTAATCATGTTTGGCGGCTAAGGGCTTGAAATTGCCGGGCATGACTGCAACAAAAGCCGGCCAATGGATGGTTGTGCACTCAGCCTCGTGGCAAGGGGATGCCAACGTAGCCTAGTGCCAAGCTACCGCTTGCCCCCAAGAAGGTGGCACTCGTGCCAGGAGTTCACGGAGGGTAGAGCCAGAGCCAAGAGAGACTATAGCCATAGCCTTCTTCGCTTTCACCACTTGAGATAGGAAACATGCATCATCGGTGGGGTGGTGGCCTACGGAAAAGTGTAATACAGGTCAAGACTGCGGAGATCTCCTACATTCGGTTTCTGTGATTTAAATCTATGGTTGATTCTTTGATCGTTTGCTTGCCTGCAGCCAACTTGAGTCTCTCACCTAGAAGAGGTCAGCATATCTTTTCTCATATGTCCTGTCAATGTTGCAAGCCAAGGATCCTGATGAGACGTCATGTTAGTGCCCTGCTGCATGTGCTCCAGAGATCACACAAGTGAAGTGAACACCAAGTCAAATACCTTGGTATGAGCGTGCCAGTCTCTTGACAGATAGGTGCAGACGCACAACATCACGCCGTTTTTTGATAATTGAATTGACTCACACACACACAAAAACACTTGACAAATACAGAGGAACGGAACAAGCTGACACTCCGTTGTCCTGAAGCGTTGAACCGAAGACCAGTCACGACTTGACGGCGCTGTTGGGGCCGAGGTGACGGTGTCGATTTCGGGCAGCAATCGCCTGGGTGTGGATGCAGATTGGAGTGATGGCAAAACTCTCTACATCAAGGCCGCTCCAGACATCCAAGGGATTTGGATGACATCGGATTGGGGCCATGGATGGCTTTCTTGGATGCCACGGCTTTCTTGGGAGATCGTCCTGGATCCGAGCCAGACTCGAATTTGATTCTTTTTGAGTGGGGGTGGGAAAACAGGCAGGTGTCATTGAAAGCCTGAACGTTTTTGAAGCAAGCGGAAAGTCATCGTTTTGCCAATGATTCGACTTAGCATCCTTTGGCCATCACCTACATTGTCAAGGTTGTAGCCTAATGGTCTTTGGACTACACACCAAATCAACACATAGAAGAGTCATCACATGTTCAGCCCAGCACCCAAATTTATGCATGACAGAAGCTCCAGTCATCACTGCTCATATATACTATTGGCTACCAATAATTTGGGGTAGTTCACGCATGTACCAATGATACACTATATTTTTTGTGCACACGATCAAGCATGGGGCTCCGGCCATTGGTGAAACTACAAGCCTTCGGCAGTCAGATGGCACCCGTCGCTTCCCAGGCAATTCTGGCTGGAGCTGTCAGCGATTGGAACAAAGAGAACCCGGCGAAGGCTGTTCAGCCAGGAGACCGGGCCGAGAGCCTAAGGCCAAAACGATGCCTGTGGGAGGGATGGGCTGCCAGCAGCCCCTAGGAGGTTCAGGGACTTTTGCCTGCCGGGGGAGTTCGACCTGGGTTGCTATGGTTGATGTCGACTTTGTTGATACGACCGGCATTTAGAGAGATACAGTATTCACCTTTTATGATGACAATCTGTATCAATTTGTCTACCATAATCTACCATGTTAGTTCCAATGTTCTGGTTATCATCATTCCTTGGACCGGTCAATCATTCCTTGGACCGCTGGCCCTTTCGCGTACGTGGGGTGTGCCACCGAGGTCATTTCCGTGAACGGCGTCAGCGGCGATGCTCAAGCCATGGTCAGGGAGATCAAGGTAGGGGTCCCTGGCCACAAGGAGAAAGTTGGTCCCAAAGAAGGATTTGCAGGGGTCTTCCAGTGGGTCTTCCCTCTATTGTATATACAAATGCCAAACGATTCTTCTAAAGGGAGGACCTGTGCTAGGACATTGGTCATCTAGAGGATCGCGCGGCAAAACCGCTACAGGAAAGGAAACCACTTGATGTGGGTTGAAAGGCATGGAGCACGTACAGCACGTCAAGGTTTGGTCCTGCGAGATCCTTCGAGCGTTTAATGAGTTTGACCAACCAGGGTGTAGGAGGGCCTCAAATTTGCAACTTCATCCTAGTAGCGTTCTTGCTCCTAGTAGTAAGGCCAGAAGCCCCTAGT